TATGGGACACGGTCGCCGCTTTCTCCCCGTCAGAATTTGCTCGCTTGTGCAAATCGCATATGAAAAGGGAGTTAAAAAGAAAAAGAAAAAAAAAAACACAATAATTATTTAGCAAGTGTAAAAGGGAAAAACAAACGTAAAAAAAAGGGGCTCCCCGCAGGGACTTGGCACTTGATGTGTCCTGTGGGAATGTAGTCTTGGACCCTTGGYACATCCAAATTCTGTGAAGAGGCTTCCGAGTTTGCCTTGTGATTACATGGTGGTCGTCGTATCCGAAACGTTTTGGGACTTTTTTTYCCCCTTAACTCTTGGGAAAACACGAAATAAGCATTTGTGCTCACCTCTTGGGGTAGAAGCGGATTCCGCACCCCCATGGCCAGGCAGGCTAGAGATTTTGCACACCCATTTGCGTCATTTGCTACCCTGCACTATAGCAGAATCTGCTATTTCTGTGATATCCGTGTGTGTGCGTGTGTGTTGTCATAGGGCCTCGCTGCACTACTCATGACTCGTGAAAAAAATCAAGAGTGCTTCTTGAGTTGTCAGAGTCCCGAAACGGCTTTAGGGCCTCCCCACGCCAATGTCGAAACTTCACGAAATTCAACATATGTCAGGAAATTTTCAACATTCCCTCTTCGCCAGAAAAACCTGTGCACAAGTCCTGTGCRCAGGTTGTCGAAACGGCCTTAGGGCCTCGCCACAGCATGTCCAAGTRAAGAACTCACGAGTCCTGTGCACAAAAGAGGCAAACYGGGGTGAAGATAGGACAAGCTTTGGTGAGTTCTCTTTTTCGACATTCGGCCAAGAATTAGACATCCCATCCGAGGACTGTTGAAAATGTCCAAGTTGCAGGCCTGACGTGGAAAACAGCCCTTCTCGACAGGAGGTGTTGAAACCCTTTCCCTGACAGCTCCTGATTTTTTTTTGCATCTCGGATTTCGACAGGAGGTGTTGAAACCCTTTCCCTGACAGCTCCTGATTTTTTTTTGCATCTCGGATTTCGACATGCTGTGTGGGGAAGAGAAAATGTCGAAAATGTAGTTTCCGACATYGAGAGTTCGGTCATCGCTGCACTTACTCTACGTACCGGGATTTTCCCAGCCACGAAACGGCACGCACTGTGGAGGACGGCGCTTCCCTGCAGCCAGTCCCTCTACCTGCCCCCGCTCCGAAAAATGGGATTTCTACAGGCCCGTTCAGCAGCCACCTTCCGCCCCTCCGCCACTGCGCACACTCCGCAGCCAGTCCCCCCCCCCCAGTTAACCGAAAGTATGGAATTGTACATGGTACGATCCCACCACAGTGGGACCACBCACGATAGTGTGAACGCTTGCATTTCACGAGTGCTCTAGAAGCACTACACGRCAGCCACAGCGTGCCTTGTCCRTCCAGACCCTGCTCRCTCTTGAAATCCAAAGGCCTTTCAAGAAACAGTCAGACCTCCCTTGCAAAAAAACCGAAGTTGCAGGCAGGCGAACAAGAGCGCTCTACTAAGTCTACTTGGCTTCACCTGACGGCGCCCTGACGGCTCATGAAAGGCGTTTTCAAGAGTGACAAGGCAAGAGTAGGGCAGCGACGACAACTCTTTGAAGTTTGCAAGAGTTGCATCTGACAGCTCTTGACGCGCGAAACTACGACATTGTTCACGAGTACGTSCAGCGGTGCAGCGCTCATGAAAAAACACATTTCATGAGTAGTGCAGCGAGGCCCATGTTCGCTATACACTCAGGGTATACTCACACGGGGACCACAAGTCTCAAAAAATTCAGGCATTTGGTTTAGTTTTTTATCAGGAATTTGGTCCCCGTCCAGAAAGGACAAAGTTATGACCCTGACATTTTGCASTCAGGGCAAGTGCGCCCGGTCACACAGGGGAGGGCCAAAAAAAGATGGAAATTTTTATATATTTTTTTTTCACCGCAGTATAACCGGTGGGCCTTCGCTACAATAAAAATGTTTCTGGTCGCACTTTCAGTTGTTTGGCGGGTGTCTTCTTCATCTACGATTCTCTTCAATTCGCAAACATACAAAAAAAAAACGAAAGGTAATTTGAGACCACCTCAGGAGGYGGTCTCAAAACGGGTCCTCCCGCGGGCCGCGGCCCCACAGGCCACTGACAAAAGGGTCACCGTTTGAGTCATTTGGGTAGCGGGCCTCTCCAGTGTGACYCGAAAACTGACTCAAATTTAGGGATTTAGGGTTTTTTGGTCCTCCACGGGGACCAAAAGTCTAAAAAAATTGAGGCATTTTTTTTTTTTTTTTTTAGGCCTTTGGTCCGCGTGTGGTCACACGTGCGGACTTCATCCAGAAAGGACGAAGTCGCGCCCCTGACACTTTGCACTCGAGGCAAGTGTGCCCCGTCACACGGGGGAGGACCAAACAAAAAGATGGAACTGTTTTTTTTTTGTTTTTTTTCACGCCAGTATAACATGTGGGCCTTTGCTACAACGTAGATGCTTGTGGTCGCACTTTCAGTTGTTTCGCGGGCTTACGATTCTCTTCAATTCGCGAACATAAAAAATAAAAATGAAAGGTAATTTGAGACCACGTCTGGAGGTGGTCTCAAAAAGGGTCCTCTTGTCGTGATGGATATCATTACAAAGGATAWTATTGATAAGCACAAACCTCCGTTTAGACTAAATGTCAAAATCCTGAAAGACCCGGGGATCCCCTCCTGGATATCTACGCAGGTGAAAGACTGGGATAAGGCAAGACACCTGTTCCACAGTTTGGAGGAATGGGCAGACATTGGTATAGGAATTATCCAGGCAGCTATGGAGGAATTCTCTAGGATGAAAGCAGCGTCCCGGTCGTGGAAAGAAAAATCTCTTATAGCATTAATCGAAGAATCGCAAAGATCAATGGAGGATGATCCCTTTGCCGAATATTATTGGTCAAGCAGGAGAACTTCTGCACTTGCAGAACTTGAAAACCTAGAAATACAGCGGCAGTCGGACTGGTTGGAATGGTTGAAAATAAGAGGAATCATTGGGTATGACCGGATGACAAAACGTACTTTCCGGTCTCTAATCCTTCGCCAAGTCAAACCCTTAATGAGGGAATTGAACCACCCTTTTGC